TTTTTTTTCAGATTCGATGTAAGAACTAGAAATGAAAATTGAGACTTACCGATGCTACTCGGGAGCTCTTGTACCGCATGAAGATGCTTGTCACTCTGCATATGAATGCTCAAATTGCCTTTTGTAGTTGTACTGTACTTACAAAGTTCGCATCTGCGATTAAGATCAAATTAACTCAATTAATTAGTAGCAGTTTGGATGATCAAACTAACCTGTACGGTTTATAGCCGCATGAGTAGCTCTCACCACGGGCGAGCTTTGGATGTACACGATTCTCAGCACAATAGCCACATTTCACCTGCAAGGCTACTGTAATATTACACTAATTGATAAACTACGGTAAGCGTTTAGTTTAAACCATCGAAATTTGATTGGAATTTTTTCGCTCAGGACCTCATAAAATTTGCGATCACCTACCTCGCCATCTGAATGCTTTTCTTTCATGTGGATCTCTAAGGTCTCCTGATATTTATAGTGCCAGTTACACTTGGGGCATTTTAACGTCTTTGATGAGTTTCTGGAAAAGATTAGGATTATCACACTGTGTAAGCTCTGGACTTCTACTATCCTACCTCAAAGCACCAGCCCCCGTGAGATCACCAAACATGGACAGATCCATGCCCATAGGGAATGGATTTGAAGCATCCATTGCCATAGGTGAGGAACCATCATGTAAATCACTGGCACTACTAAGAAGTCGTTCAAGATGTGCTTTGGGTGAGTCGGAGGATCCTGAAGTAGTCAGATTTCAAATGAAGAGCGGAAATAAGTGGGGTTTGTTGAAAGACTTACCACTTCCTTCACTAAGGAGCCGAAGGAGGTCAGACGGATCCGTCGTCGGTGGCGTATTGGTAGGGGAGTCTGAATTTACAGATGAAGAATCTGTCAGCTCGAAAAATGTTTTCTTTCCACATTTCTGTAAGCCTATCCTTTTCCCTTCCGCCTCCGCTGCTCCCTCACCCTTGCCACTTTTTTCCCCGCAAGAACTACCCAAAGGACCAACATTCCTCCATCAGGGACTCACCTACTATCATTCTCGATGGTCCAGGTTGATTGCCGTCGAATGGCATCAACAACTGGTGTACGCCGAAATCAGACGACATCAAGACACCGCATCTGGAACAAATCACCTAACGGCAGCACACGGACGCAGTTCACATCGTCAACACCGAATCGTAGCCGAGCGGTACGTTAAGGCACACATATGGATGAAAAAAGGATATACACAGAGGCGGTGAGTGAAAGATTTGTGGGATCGGTTGTGCACGAAAGGTAGAAAACCCAAATAAGTGGGTAACTTGATTTTTATGCGAAATGGAGGGAAGTTTGAAACTTCAATAAGCATCACACAAGTGCAGAATTTTTGATCTCCTACCAGGGGAAACGG